CTGGGGACAGAAGAGATTTGGGCTGGTGTCGGGCTTCGCAGGGGGAGAGGGGAAGAAATGCTTATTTATCTGCTTTACACAGTATTTTCATTTAGAAAGCATTTTGGTTCCTGTCAGGGAAGGTTAAGGCTGGTTGCCAGAAACACCAAACCTTTTCCCTCCCTAGTGGAGGATTAATGCTCTCTCTAAACCGTTAAAAAAAAAAAAGTATATTTTTTTCTTCAAAGGGATCTTGTCTGCAGTTCTTCAGATGAGACTTTTCCTCTGGTAGTAAGCTGGTCTTTTAGAGATGAGATGTTCAGACTGCTGGGCAGGACCCACTAATGGGTCATAAAATCTAATTAAGGGCTTTGCTGTCCCCATTTTTTTAGATTAGAGCAGGGTAGAAGATGCCAGAGTCCACTGTACATAACAAGAGTACAACTTGGTATTTTTCAGTTTCACATATGGATGTGTGGGTGTTTACTGGATCACGGTGTACTGCATCACTCTTAACTATATTTTATAATAGTCAAAAAAATGGGTAAAGCCATTATCTTAAAATTATCTTTGGCTCAACAAAGGCTAGGTCTTGTTGCAGAATCTTGGCCATTCTTTACAAAAATATCACACGCTAACTGAACATGTATGAATAAGCTCTAAAAAGTAACCATTTCAAATAAGTTTTTAACCTAGTCTTTTTTTTTTTAAATTTCTATTTGGTCATTCGTTTTCGAAAACAACAGATTTAATATAAAATAAAAGTATGTCCTGATTTAATATAACAGTTTTCCCCAATTTACATCTCTCACAAACCTCTCTGCATGACTTTTGCCCAGTCTGGGAACCACTTGTGTTTTGTATTTCATACTTTTTTTAAAAATCAACTCAAATTTTAAATCTACATTTAATATGTATGAAATTGTTCATTTATGTATGGGTTAGTTATCTTTTTCTCATAGGTAATGAAATAAGCATAAAATTTTTAAAAGTTAAAAATAGTCATCCTTGTGCCATTCAAGGTAACTTACCTCTTTCTTGGCCCAGATACCGCTGTTTGGCGAATAGGATGTCCAGAACATTCTTTTATGCATTTCCCCACTCCGTTTTAGCTTCCTTTGCTCTAACAAAGGTTCATATACATAAGAAAAGAAACAAGAACTGTTAGTTATTAGGGAGAGAATTGCAGTTTAATTTTAAGAAACTCACCCCACCCTCCTTCCCCCAGGCTTGTTTTCTTAGGACTCCAGAATTCACAAGAAATCACAAGGGAGATTTCTCCAAGGTTGACTATACCTTGACCCAGCCAGCTTTCTCCATCTATTAGTAAACATTATCTAAGACAACTGCGGAGAGCAAATATTTGAAAATTAAGAAACACACTGAATGTTACTGCACAGGGTAAAGATAAAACCCATTGAGTGAGGGCTGAGCCAATGGGGCCCCACAGTACAAAACTGGCCTTGGCTCAGCCTCTTAGGTCCTCTCAGAAACTCTATGAGATCTCAATAGGAGCAGAGCTGGAAGGACTGGAGCAATAGCACCCTATTTTTTTTTTACAGGTGGGGTGACTGATGTCCAACAAAGCAAAATGGCCTATCTAGGATGCCACCCTCAGTGGGTGACAAAGTGTGAGGCTTGCCTCTTTTGCATTTATCTCATTTCTTAGAAGCCTTGTGAGGAAAGCCTTAATGCCAAGAGTCGGAGGACCCTGGTATTAGAAATGGATTCTTTCCAAAGAAAGAATAGGCCCTCAACAGCCACTCAGTCAAGATCTAGAATCGCTGATCTGATACAAATGACAGAAATGTATCCAGTTGCCATAGACAAGCCCACTCGTTACCTTATGCCCACTTTGCTATATGAGGGACATGAGTCCAAAGTGTGGTTGACCTGGTCCTCAGATGTCCTGCTGCCCTCCATCCCTACTCAGAAGACTTCAGATCCAGATACTTAAGTCCAAAATCACCTCCAGGTCTACCTTTCATAGCTGTAATGACTAGCTCTCAAGTGTCCCTGTGGTTCTGTAACCAGGGGAGCCCAGGCTAAACAACAAGGAGAAATTCTGAAGCTCCAGGAAGGTTTTTCAAACTTCTAGGGAATTAGGGGAGCCACCTCTAGTTCCCAGAGTTCCCATAGCACCAAAGGTAGCCCTCCACCAGTCTTTTCCTTGTTCCTCTGGCACCTTTTGAGGTCTGTTACATCCCTAACCCATGAGTTTCTAGAGGGCACAAGCCATATTGGCCATTGAGTTTGGCCATTTCATGTAGACATGCCAGGTGTCTGTTGTTTTTTTTGTTTGTTTGTTTTGTTTTTTCTGGGTTAGTTGTTAGCCACTTAGTTGTTGGTTAATTTCTAGTTGTGATTGTTAGTGTTAAAAATGCATACAAATGAGGGGCTGGGGATGTGGCTCAAGCGGTAGCGCACTCGCCTGGCATGTATGCGGCCCGGATTCGATCCTCAGCACCACATACAAACAAAAGATGTTGTGTCCGCCGAAAACTAAAAAATAAATATTAAAATTCAGTGTCACACAGATCCAGGTACACATGGGGATTATGCCTGGAAAGAGGGATGTATCTCTGAATGTGAACTTGTAGGTCCTGCAAGGATAGTGCTGCAACCTGTCCCTAAGTTCTCCTTACTTTTCTTTAGCACTTACTTTCCTATAAATGATATGATTAATTAATTGTTACTTGTTCCTTTTGCTGAAATGTAAACTCCATGAAGGCAGACGTCTTTGTTTTATCACAGGTGTATCCCAAGAAACAGTACCTGATGCATCAGATGCTTGATGAATGAGTGGATATTGGTATATTGAATGAATGGATGATGATCCTGGGTAAAGGTTAAAGGCAGTTTTCCTAAGAGAAGTGGTACTCACAACTGGAGGGTCACTTTTTATATTAGTCAGAGAACCTCCTCTGTGGTACAGGCTGCTTTCTGTTAGGTGGCAGGGCTAGTCTGTGCCCTACCATGGATGTCTTCAACACACATAGCAAGAAGAACAAGTGGGGGCCCAACAGTGACTGTTGTTTATACATACTCTTCATCAAAGGAGACAGCAGTGAAGCTGTCCCTAAGAGTCAGGAGAAGTGGGTTCAAATCTCAGAGGAGAAGTGGGTTCAAATCTCAGATCTGTGCATTTCTAGCTGGACGACTTAAAGTCACTCAATAGCCCTACTTAATCTCAATTCCCCCTTATAAAATCAAAGCTGTATTCCCCTCTTCATAATGCACCGAATACTGTGCCTCCTGATACCCATGAGGCCCCCATGGGGAGCATCAAGCCTGTGGAGACCCTCTGACAGGCCAGCAGTGTGGGTGGGTTCCCCGAGTCTATTTCCAAGCAGTCTCTGGCTCTCCCCAGGAAAAAATCCAACAACGCCTGAGTTTTGTTAGGGAGGATTGTGTAGCACCCTCCCCTCCAAACCCAAATCCTCAGTAAGTCAGGAAGATGTATGTGTTTTAAAACATTGGGAGGTCTGCTTTGGATCACCCGAGCTGCGGCTTCCCTGTACTGGCGAGGGTGAAGGGAGGCAGCTCCTCCACCCCGAGCAGCTCACGCCCCACACGGGGCTGCTCCACTCAGCCTCAGCGGCCGTTGACTTTTAAATCATAAAAAGCCATCTATATACAGTTTACTCTGTTGCTAGAAGGCAGCGGATCGTAGGTATTAGGAAAGCGGGGGGAAAAAAACAGCAGAAGCAGCAGCCGTTGATCCCGCCAGGCTGCTGGGCACTGGAGGAGTTGTGGATGACAAAACTTAATTAGAAACATGAGCAGTTTAACTGAAAACACTTGTGACAATTGGAAGGGCAGCTTCTCTGGTTGGAAACTTTTTCCTAGGGAATCGTTGTGGGAGAGAGTGGCTGCTGCTAGGTAAGTCCTGTCATTGTGACTTTACAGATGCATATGCATTCTTCAGGGGCTGAAGGGACACATCCTGTCTGCTCTGCATGGTGGGTCCTGGGGTATGAGAGCACTGGGCCCTGCCCAGGATGCCCTCCATGTCCCCCTCTGCTTTCCCCATCAGCTGCCTTATCAGGGAGACAGAGCTGCATCATCCAGTGCTGCCTGAAGAAGAGGGCTGCAGTACTCATTTCTATGGCCACCAGGCCACCTCGGTGGCTAGCAGAACTGCCTGTTGGAGTCTATACTTCCCAGAATAATTCTGGCCCTTGTTTGGAGATATTTTGAGGAATTTCTGAGAAAAGCTTCTGGCCAGGGAAGCACTCACTGAGCGCCAGGGGGAAGCCTTGACTTTCAGATGACCTGTATGTTTTCTTGCCTTCAGGGAAACCATGTGCATAGATTGTGCTCTTAAAGCAAAAAAAAAAAAAAAAAATGTTCTTTTTTTTTTTTCAATGTTTAACGTGAATCATGTCTGTGACTCTTTTAAAAAACTTCCATGCTTTGATAGGATTTAACAACTTTTGAGGATAATCATTCTTCTCTAATGATTCTTCCCAGTTTCTCCTTCCTTTCTAGGTTGTGTGTGTGTTTTATTTTAATGTCTCTGCTACATTGTTTCCTTAAAAGTTACTAATAATTAATACTTCTTGATTCTTTTGCATAACTGGTAAAATGGAACTATAGGTTGAATAATTCAAAGTTGTGAATATTTCCTGCAGGTTTCTTACATCACTGTGGTGGTTGATGTTGGTAAGGGTTTTTGCTTTTGGGTTTGTTTTTTTTTTTTTTTTTTTTTTTGGTAGATTTATATTCTTAATTATGCTCTTTGCATGTTACTGTGAAGATTGGTCTGCATTCGCACAGTGCTCGGCATCAAAATGTGATGGGGTGTAGGGAGGAGAGGCGTGGACTATGCTTGGTGGAGAATAGGAGAAAGTTGAGCTAGGATTTAGATGTTAACCACAGATAATCCACAAAGCAGGTAATGGAGCCGTACTGCATTTGGGTTGGGAGTGATTGGCTCTGCAGCCCTGGCCAGCCTTCCCATATCTCTGAAACAGGTCAGCAGATATGATTCAGGTCTCCCTCCCTTCCTGTCTCTGCAGAGCCATTGGCAAGCTCAGCCTCCTCCCACCCCGGAATGAGCGAAAATGCACCTGCTTCCTTGGAGAGCAGCAGCCCCTCCATCCCCGCTAATTGCAGCACTTCCTCAGCCATCCCCCAGCCCGGTGCTGCCTCCAAGCCCTGGCGCAGCAAGTCCCTGAGCGTAAAGCACAGTGCCACATCATCCATGCTCTCAGTGAAGCCTCCTGGGCCCGAGACCCCCAGGCCCACACCAGAAGCCATGAAACCAGCCCCCAACAACCAGAAGTCCATGCTGGAAAAGCTAAAACTTTTCAATAGTAAAGGGGGCTCCAAGGCAGGTGAGGGGCCAGGGTCCCGAGACACAAGCTGTGAGCGGCTGGAGATCCTACCCAGCTTCGAAGAGAGCGAAGAGCTGGAGGCTGCTGGCCGTGCCCTGTCCACTACGGGTTCCACATCCAGCAGCCCCAAGATTGCACTCAAGGGCATCGCCCAGCGGACTTTCAGCCGGGCACTGACCAACAAGAAGAGCTCTCCGAAAGGCAGTGAGAAAGAAAAGGAGAAACAGCAGCGGGAGAAGGAGAAGGAAAAAGGCAAGGACCTCACCAAGAGAGCCTCGGTGACGGACAGGCCAGACCTCAAGGAGGAGCCCAAGGAAGAGCCCAGTGGAACAGCTATGACCGAGATGCCAAAAAAGTCCTCCAAGATCGCCAGTTTCATCCCCAAAGGGGGGAAGCTCAGCAGTGCCAAGAAAGAAGCCACAGCCCCATCCCATAGTGGAATACCAAAACCAGGAATGAAGAGCATGCCCGGGAAGTCCCCAAGTGCCCCTGTGCCTCCCAAGGAAGGGGAGCGGAACCGGAGCAGCAAGCCAAGCTCTGGTCTCCCCCCACAGAAGCCCCAGTTAGATGGCAGACACTCCAGTTCCTCCTCCAGCCTGGCGTCCTCAGAGGGAAAAGGCCCAGGAGGGGCCACTCTGAACCACAGCATCAGCAGCCAGACTGTCAGTGGATCCGTTGGGACCACCCAGACCACAGGAAGCAATACCGTCAGTGTCCAGCTACCTCAGCCACAGCAGCAATACAACCACCCCAACACTGCCACGGTTGCACCTTTCCTGTACAGGTAGGAACAGCACACGTTGCCTTCTTGGGCCACCAGGTAAAGAGCCTGGTTGGTGGATTCTTTGTCTGTGAGGGTGGGGTTGTGACTGCCCTCCAAGAACAAACAAGCACTAAGGTACCATGTGATTCAACCATATAGAGGCATGTACGGTGCACTGGAGGGGACAATTCCCATGGTGTGATTGGGGAAGGTCAGAGAAAGACTAAAGAGAAGTAAAATGTGAGCTGTTCCCAGCATGAGCAGGGAACAGGCTTTGGGGACCAAGGCATTTCAGGAGCAGCCACAGCATGAAGTCCTGAATGTGTAGGCTGGGCAGTTTGGTGTCACCCAGCATAAGCCATAATACATCCTACACAAACTTTAAAAGAAACCATGAAAACCACCTTGCTGAGCAATCGACACGACTTCTCATAGCAGTGTTGGTCTTGAACTTCCCAATCCTCTCAGTCCCTGTGTGTGCTAGGGCTTTTTGAGGGGGAGACTGAATAGAGGGGAGTAGTAAGGGAGGGACCAGTTCTAGAATAGGACCTGTGTTGACTGAGGGGATAAGCCTCCCAGCCCTGTCTCTGATGGTACATCCACAGGACCTCTGGGGGCCTTGGGCCAGGTGCTGCTCGCTCTGGGGTTCTGGCTGCTGAGTGCCCTGGGCTCCTGGTGTGCTGCACATCCATGAGCACTCTGGGTAGTGCAGCCTTTCAGCATTGCTCTTGAGGGAGCCCCAGAGCTTTTGCTCACTGCATTCAACTCAATGGTGTGCTGGAGACATGTAGTGACTTTGGCCACATCACCCAGCTGGACAAGAATTAACACCTGTACATATCAAAAGGGGACTAGGGGTGGAATGTCATATTTTACCCTCTTATTTTACAGCTCTCACCCCAAGTGCATACACATAGGCAGCTCTATACACACTCATACGCCCATAGGAATGGAAACATAAAACTGTCACACTTGAGTATGGGCCCAAATGTACATTCACACATCAAATCTAAGTGCATATATGTGTGTACATATCTGTTCAGGTACATAGGCTCATGACCATACTTTCAGTATCCCACATCTGTATAATTCCCCAAAGAATTAGATATTCCCTCTTCCCTCCCAAATTGTGTTCTAGTAAGCTCTATTACATTTCCTGCCAATAGTAAAGCCAGCTGGCGCCCAGCCAATGAGGGATGTCAGGTTTCACCTGGCCCCTCCTTTGTTTTCTTCTGTTTGCCCTCCCCTTCAGTGAGGGTCACAAGGATCTTTTTAATTGGGATAAGGTTATTATTTTGTTAAATCAAGTCATCAGCTCTGCTAACACTGCTGAGAAAAGGGCCAAGGCTTAGATAATGGCTCAGCCAGCTGTATGCATGCAAAGAATAGCTCCCCATGAAAGTTTTATAATTCCAATAGCATTAATAGACTTGAAGCAATGCACAAAGTACTCTTCACAGATTCTTGGTTGGCATTCTCATAACTAGAATATATGGCAGTCTTTGATTACTGTCAATTCCACTTTTTATTTTGACTAATCACTTGCAAGATTATAAACCCTTTAACATTACTATTATTATTTCAAGTTTGTTTTGAGGAAAAAAAATGCTCATAATGATTAAGAACAAATGTTTGTGAGAAAGGAAGGAAAAACTTCTGGGATGTGCCTCTGCCAGTCCTCTCTTAATGTGAATGCTCACTGGGTGAGGTCCTCTCCCCCTCTGAGGTTGTTCTTTAGGTGAGTCTGGGAAGAAGAGTACCTAGAGAGGAGTTGGGACACTGGGGGCCCTGTCCTTTCTCAGCTCCTGACACCCTCTGTGGTGTTGGGCCCTGGTTGCAGGAACAGCTATTGCATGTGCACTAAGAGTGTGCAAAGATCATGCTAAGGACCTTCAATGCCTTAGCTCACTGAATTTTTCCCCCAGCTCCATGAACTAGCTTACATCTCAAATCTCCTTACTACAGATGTACATGCAAACTGAAGCTTAGATGAGTTAAGTAACTTGTTACACATCACAGAGCTCAAAACTAGAAGAACTCATGTTTAAACCAGAGTCTAACTAGAGGAACCAGGCTCTTAGTCACCATATTTTCCTGATTCTCTAAGTCACCCGAGCGTCATTGTTTTCATCTGCAAAGGAAGGAGAGTGAACTAGATTAGAGGATTTTAAAAGTACTTTACATTCCCTTCCTGCTCTAAAATTCTCTCTCAAGTTTATGTGTGGCTCCTTGTATAACTTACAGGGCTCACCCCACCACCTTGCCAGTTAAAGATGTAACCAAAGAGGAAGGGAGGATAGATTGTTTTTAAAAACCACTCAAGATGAATTATGGTTATGACTTCAGAAATAACAGTGAACACATCTGTCACTTTACTATGTGCTTTTGTGTCGTGTCATGTTTGATTTTTGTAGTAGTCAGGAAGATGGCTATTATGCCACTCATGCAGACGAGGGCTCTGGGGTTCAGAAAAGGTGAAGTGACTTTCCAAATTTGCATGACTCCCAAGTTATAGACCCTAGACTTGAAGCTGCATGTTCAGATTGCAAGACTAACATTCCTTCCAATATTTAGCATCTTTATAAATTTGAAAATTTCTCATTTATCAATCAACATGCCCTTCTTGAGCACCTACTCAGTGCTCGGCGTTAGGAACTAAATTAACTGCATGCAAAGACTCTCCATCTAGTTGAGAAAAGATTTATTCAGTCACATTAAAACCAATAGGCGATAAGAGACTAAGGAGGGAGCCGTAGAAACACAGGGGTAAACACATCAGCTGGTAGAGTGGTAAGGCTTCCAGGCTGATATCCTGTAACTGCACCTTGAAGGCAAGGTAGGAGGGGACTTAAGGAAAAGCAAGAAGGGCCTAGAGGCCAAGGTCATAGTAATAACAGGGTATGATCGGGAATGGAAAGAAGGCACCATGTGTGGAGCAGAGTTGGGCAAAAGGGGTGGGAGCAGTAGGAGATGGGGCTAGAAATAGAGAAGAGTCCCATGACATGGGGCATCATCCACCACAGATGACGGGAACCTTTGGAGGCCTTTATCAGAGGGTGACAGCATCACATCAGTACTATACATACCAGTGGAGGGTCATGTGGGAATAGAGCAGCCTTAGGAAGAGTCCAGAATGGAGGTCACTATCCAGATGCCTGCTTGGGTCCAAAAAGGGTGGGTCCCGGAGGGTGGGGCTATGGCAGAGGGAGCCCAAGTACCACATCTCTAGCAGGCACAGTTACTGTTTGTCACCAGCAGGTGGCACCCTGCAAGAACAAGGGCTCAGTCTCTCCAGACTTCCTTGATTTTACAGGGAGAAGGCAAATATCCAGATAATTTCTTGTGTGAAATATATAAATTTTTAAATAGTAAATTAATTTTGGAAACTTTAAATTCCTATGCATGCTAATAAGAATACGTGTGTGGGCTGGTCCCTACACCTGGCTGTTATTTGCAACCTCTGGACTAAAAACGGGGTACCTGTTTTAAGGTGCTTAAAGGACGTATGCAGAGATGAGGAGGGCTTGTCCTCTGAATGAGGAATAGAGAAGAATACTGAGATTAAGAAAGCGCTGTAAAGCTGACGGTAACAGAAATCGGGATGACCTCAGTGGGAGGGTAAAGGGGGGGAAGAATAGGTGGGTGGTTTATCAGTCCATCTCACATGGTCCATCTACATTCTTATCAAGCACTTTCTTGGGAGTTTGATGTGTGCGTGTGTGGGGGGGGGGAATAGCTCAGTGTTAGTGTACAAGGTCCTGGGTTCAATTCCCAGCATCAAAAACAAAACAAACCAACAAAAAAGAACCCCTCTTTCCTCATAGACAGTGAAATCTGGCTGAATCAGTCCAGGATGGTAATGAATTAATACTCTCACATTAATTACGCATCTGAGCACGATTATAACATTGCACGTTATGCCTGAATGAGCCCAGGTAGTTGTGGCAAGAAAGGGTTGCATGAAGCTGTTGCCTCAATTTGCTTGACAAATAAGGGCCTGGAGAAGGTTTGGGGAAGTACAGATTTCAGTCAAGTGTTGAAATTATGATCAGTGAGACCTTTCATGTCAGAAGATCTGAGCTCTGAATCAGAGACCTGGAGGGCAAACACAGCTGCTTGGCATCCACTCCTGACTGGTTTTACAGTCACCTTTTCAGAGAGAACCATGTCAGGAGGATTGCCGGGGGGCGGGGAGAGGGGGCGTCAGTGGAGTCATCTTTATGCTTGACTTGCTGGTATTGCTGGTTACCTGGGAGTTGCTTTTTGGCATAGGTTAAATTATCCAAACCACCCAGCACCCTCCAGCGTTGTATTTGGCTAGACCTAGCTCCCAGAGGAGGGGTCAGAAAATCATTTCATAGTGAGGGATGACAGAATCTCTCCATTTGGGCAGTGGATATTTCATCTTTTCCAGTTCGGTGGCTCTCTCTGTTCTTAGGACATTGCTCCATGTGTGGCTAATGAATTATTTAGTGTCAGTCTGCTGATCTGCTCGGTTCTAAAACATCTTGCTGAAAGAGGTGATGGTGAGTGCTGTGGCCAGCCAGATGTAGTATTTACCTCTCCTGACAAGTGTGTTTGTTCTGGTTTGTATGTGAAGGTCCCAGACGGACACCGAGGGGAATGTCACGGCCGAGTCCAGCCCAGCGGGTGTGAACACAGAGCCTAGTCACTACACCAAGAGTGGACAGCCTGCTCTGGAGGAACTGACTGGTAAGTGTGGAGCCCCAGAAATTCTGCATCTGTTGGTGATGGAGCTTCCAAAGCAGCAGCCTGTAGGAATCTTCTGGCTTACCTGATGGAATTGACTGAGGAGCTGAACAAACTTTCTTACCCTCCCAATTATTTTCCTTCTTTCCTTTTTTCCTTTTCCCCTCTCTTTCACAACCTCTCACTCCTCCCCAGAATTGTAAATGAGACTCATACTTGTTGGCAAGTTCTATTTTTAGGATACATTCAATGTCACTTAGGGGCTCAGGGCTACTCTGATACTTAACTATGTATCTCCATGTTTGCACTTCAGATAAAGTTGCTTTTCAACAAGATTTGGAATTCAAAAATTTTGAATTTTTTTCATTTCTTGTGGAGGTACAAATTACCATATGTTAGCATTTTCCATTAATTAGAAAGAAGATTTTAGCATGTTGCTTTTACCAAAAACATAAAATATCTCAAATTTTATTTAATTATGAACAATTTTTATTATTTTAGGGATATTATATGATATAAAAACATAAAATACACTTGTTATGTAGTTAATTCCACAGCTTAATGTTAAAGTATCTCTTTTTTTTTTTTTTTGGTACTGGGGTTTGAACACAGGGATGCTCTACCACTGAACTACATTCCCAGCTTTTTTTATGTTTTATTTTGAGACAGACCCTCTAAGTTGCCATGGCTGTCCTAGAACTTGCAATCCTCCTACCTCGGTCACTGAGTTTATAGGCCTGAACCACTGTGCCCGGCACATCACATTCTTAATATAAAGGAGAGAGGTCATATCTGGTTTTGATTTTTTTTTTCTTTCTTTTTGATGCTGGGGATTGAACCCAGGGCCTCTTGTGTGCTAATAAGCACATGCTGTACCACTGAACTACATCTCCAGCTCATGATTTAGAATTCTTACTGTGGTATGTTCCAAGCCCACCTTGTCCGTCTCCCACCTTCTCCATTTCCCACCTTCTCCATCTTCCTCCTTTTTAGTCCCCCTTTCCTGTCCCCAAGCTTCATGCTCTGTACCAGTGGCTTCCCGTCAGGGCAGTGGTTGTATCGTTTATCTCCTATCTTGCCACTTCCAGAGTTGGGTTGAAAATTGAATCCATGTTTAAAATTCATTTATTATCCTTGACTATACCATTTTAATAACCTCACTGCAGCTGTGGAATTGGTCTGCAGCCCATGGGATTGAAGTTTACCCATCTGATCATTAGCTCTGAGTTTAACTATCCAGAGGCTCTGGGCGACCTAACCATTAACCATTCCCTTCTGAGTCCACTGGCTGGGTGTAGTGATGGTGCAGAGAGTCCTCAATGCATCTATAAGCAAGCTAGCTAATGGGTAAGGCCCCACATTCAGGATTGGTATTATGTCCTGTGCAAAGCTTATAGCTCCCTTACACATGAGCTCATGGATAGTATAGGAAAATGACCAGGGAGAGGCACATGAGGTTCAGATGATTGCTCAGGTCTCCATACACATTCCAGATCATGTTCTGTGTGCACACATCAAAAGAGCCAGGCGGGGATCAGTTATGTATCCCATGGAGTAGTGTGGGCTCCTGTCAGATATTGAGTCTCAGAAAAATCGGTATTTGAAAAGCAAAGCCAGTATCCAGAGAATATTCCAGATGTTTCTTAGGTTTCAGAGCAACATATTCAGCCTTGGCTCTTTCACCAATTTTCCTCCTCCTTCCGGTGTCTCCTGTACCACAAGACTGTGCAGCCAAGTCAGAACTCAGAAGCTTGACGTGTTGCCAGTGGTTGAGGCAGCAATTTGCACAGCCAGGTTTACCTGGTCATGTACTCTCTGGTGCTAAATGGAGCTGGCTGCTAGTGAAAATTCCTTTAGGCAGGGTGACTCATCTTTACATTTAAGCAGTAGAAAACACATGTGACTATAGTATGGATTTTTTTTTTTTTAATGGAGACACTGAGTGGCATAAGGTTGAACTTAATTTGTCCACAGGCCATCACTTGAAATTGGCACCAGGATAGGGGGTTCCTGAGGAAGTTCCCCAAAAGGAAGGTGGACTTCAACTCAGGCCATGAGGGTCCTTGCTATCATCATGGACAGGAGTTTAGGGATGGGTCAAAGTGAGACACAGATTGGGTTTATTGAGAAAAAGGAAGAAGTACACACTCTGGGAGACAGGATGGAGTGTGGGTGTGGGAGAGGAATGCACTAGCTACATTTCAGCTGGGCATATTTATACCTGTGGACTCTATAGTGCAGAGACGTGGTCTAAGAGGGTGTTTTCAGCCCTCCATTGTGTTGGTAACTGGACGTGTTAACCATTGCCTACCAGGGGCAATTATTTTCTTCTTTGTTTTTTATGAAAACTTGCTAATCATTTCTCCACCAGAGAAATTTATTGTTCTGCTTGTTGAATGCAGACAGTACCTCACTGTTGTAACACTGAGAGTTTGATGGCCCACTGGGTGTATAGATGAAGTCATCAGATCCTCGAGATAAAGAATACTGACTTGTTGAGCAAAGGCATTCTTAGACCTGCTTTTCTTCTAGGTCCAAGACAGGAAGAAAATTATTTATGGACCTGTAGATAAGGCCTAATGATTGACTTAACAGTGCTGTTTATGACCAGAGTTTGTGAAAATGACCTTTTAATCTGGACTTTGAACCCATATGAAAGTGGACTTTGGGTCTGGACTTTGAATCACCACTCTCATTTGTCCCACATGTCTCTTCTCTGCCCATCCTTATGTCTTCTGTTCTACCTCAAAATGACTGAGTGATGTTTTTATGAGCGCCTTTGACCAGTTGCTTAGCTCTTCCCCTTCTTGATGCATGGATGGGTCTTCCCATGGTGTGTCTCCATGGACATTGCATCACAATTGAAAAGTGCATCTTGGGTTGTGGAGTTAGAAGGCACCATATACACCTTAACATCCAGGACACGAGTCCTTCCTATAGCTTTCTGACAGGTTCTCTTTCAGCTTTGACTCAAATATTTTTTTGTGACACAAAGGTTCTTCCTCTCTCTCTCTTTTTTTTTTTAACCTAAAAAAAATGGAGTTTTTTATCCTTCTATTTCTCTTCCCTGGATATCATTCAACCTCCTGCAGCCCATAGACAGTTGCCATCATTTTCTATGCTGCAGCGTGCCCCTTATGCTCTTCCAGGTCAACATCCCAGGTTCCTTCATCTTCTTTTTCTAACACTGTGACATCCTACAAACTCGGTCATTAAGGGTCAGAACATGGGGCTCTCTCTGCAACAGTCTGTGGCTTGAGGGTGAGCTTTCTCTGAGCTGCGTGTAGACGTGGCATAGCTAACTTAGTTTTTAAGCTCTCTCTAGGAGCTGAAAGGGTCCCACAATGTCCACAGAGCTTGGTTGTGTTTTAACTTTTGTTGTAAGTTGTGAGTTGGTGGGAAAGTCTTACTTTTCAGCTAGTATCTGAGGAGGCATAGTGGGCCACACAGGATGTGGTCTCCAAGGTACACCTCGTGGATCACTGTGTTTCTACCTGACCCTGGCCATCTGCCCTAGAGTGGGCCTCTGAGGGGAGCAAGCATCTCCTGCAGGACCCCCAAGAGGGAAGTAGGACATGCACATTTGCTGAGCTCTCCTTTTATGGGGGGGTATATCATGTGTTCTGTGTTATCAGATTCTTGTACAAATCCCTTCTAGAGAAACGTGTTTTTAACTCCATTTTGCAGGTGAAATTGAAAGACTAAGTGCCTTGTTCAAGTTCAAGTGAGTAACAAAAACAGGGCCATGATTCACATCTTCATGGGAATGCAAAGCGCATGCTTTCTCTTCCTATGCTGACCAAGCATTTTTTAGGCAATAAATATTTCTTAGGCATCTATATATTTGCATGGGGATTACCAAAAGTAAAGGTGCACACACATCTCCAGCTCAGAGATCTTTGAATTCCTTCTTTCCTTCTTTCCTTTTTTCCTTCCTGTAGAATCCAGAGCCTCACACATGATAGATAGGCAAGTACCGAGCCCAAATCTTTGAATTTCTAAAGGAGAATTAAGACAAGCAACTATGTCATTAATCAAGGTGTGGGTAAGTAAGTATACTTCTTGGGTATTAATTACTGGACTTGATTTGAAAACTGTTGTCCCTAGACTTCCTAATAAATGTTCACTGTAGGGCCTAGACCTGTCCAAAGGATCAGTATCTTTTTGGTAGTTTTACACAGATATGATGTGGCCAAACTGGCAATAAGAGAGATTTAATTGGAGGCCCAGGAGATACATGCAATGATATTTGTTCAAGGCCACAAGGGGGTAAAATTGACCTTTACCACTGCCTTCTTTTAAAAACATATGTATATATATATATATGTGTGTGGTTTAAAGACTTGTGTGGGAAATCCAAGCACTGTTCAGATAAGAAAAAAAATGCTTTTTCAATTCCTCTGGGTTAAAAGGGGGCAGATAATTGAAAACAGTTGCACTTTTAAGATTAGAGAGTTGACTGTAGTGAATTTCCTCCATAAAAGCCCAATGGCTGTCCTTTTCTCCATCCTCCAGACCCCCAGCACCATCATGCCGAGAACAACCTGAGGAAGTTGTTATTATCAGAAGAGAAGCCTAATTCTGCAGTATATCTTAGATGCCCTGTTGCCCTATTAGTGATAGTTACTGGAACTTCTACTTGGCATCTAATGAAAATCCCACTTGCTGCTGCCAACACATACTGTGTTCTGTAGGAGGAATTCTTTTAAAATGTTGCTCAACCCTTGAAAATAGTCATAGGCTTTGCAGGACCCTTGATTTTGGTTCCCCAGGCTTTTCAGCCCTCCCTGAAATTACTCTGAGGAGGAAAATGTTCGATCCCTTTAATCAGGATTATAGTTCTTCTCCTCTTCTCATCCCCTTGTGAGGCTGAATGCAATGGCGTAGCCAGAGAACCTGAAACAGGGCTGTGCTGAGAGGCACGTCTCTTCCTAGCTTGTGGGTGGCGTGTTTCTTACGGCACGTTAGCGCGAGCCTGAACTCTGCTTGGCCAAGTGTCTCATGGAAATCTTTCCCAGAGAATGGAATTCTGTGGTTCTGCCAAAGAGAAGCCCAGCTGTTTCTTGGTGGCTCCCTGCTCTACATCACTAGCTGGATGTATTGGGCACTATGCAAAGGGACCTCAGGATCTTAGCCTGGTTTGCTTCCCCAGCTGCCCTATGCGGTCAGTACTATTACTATGCTCATTTTAGGAAGATGGAATCAGAAAGAAGGAGAAGACCAGCACCTTTCCCACAGCTAATCATGCAGCCAGTAAGCAGGGGAGGTAGAATCTGAGGTGCCACAGTCCATCTGACAAGGGAGAAAGCAAACCTGTCTGTAGAATCACTTGTGGTTAACAAGTGCAAGTCCTTGAGCCACTGTGAGCTCTTTTTGTAAAGCAGAGCTGGAAGACAGATGTGTATATCACCAATAGGTGAGAGAACAGTGCCACACACACTTTTGAAGGGCAGAAAATGACTGGGGAGTGCTCAGTCCTGACCTGTCTTCATTAGAAACCATGCGAGAGTACGTTTACATCTCCAACTAAGGCGCTTTGCATTTTCCTCAAGTTGAACTTGATCGACTTCCAGAGGAAACTGGAGGAGGAATCTCCATGAATTTAACAGCCTCCTCTGGGCATCTGTTCAGTCAATCATCCACTTTCAAATCCTTATTTAGCACCAATAGCTGAAACCTGGCTATAGTCACAAATATATTTGCTTATTGCTTTCATGAACTTTACAGTCAATCAAAAAGTTACACTGCTTTTGCGCGGGTAGTACTAGGGATAACTCAGGAGTGCTTTACCACTGAGCTATAAAACCTCAGCCCTTTTTATTCTTTATTTTGCTAAGTTGATGAGGGCCTCACTAAGTTGCTGAGGCTGTCCTTGAACTTGTGATCCTCTTGCCTCCGCCTCCCGAGTTGCTGGGACGACAGGTGTGCACCACTAGGGCTGGCTAAAATTTAAACTAATCTTAACTTTCATCTTTCCAGGGGAAGATCCTGAGGCTCGGCGGCTGCGGACAGTGAAGAACATCGCTGACCTGCGGCAGAATTTGGAGGAAACCATGTCCAGTTTACGGGGAACTCAGGTTACACACAGGTATCTGCAGTGTGAGCTGGTTTGTAGAACTAGCTGGGAGGTTGGTTTTCACTGCCATCTGAAAAGTGATTTAGTTAGTAGTGGAAGAAATAACCTGGCTCCCCAAATATGCTAGCAGAGAGAAGGCCAGACAACACACCGAAGAGAAGGAGAGGGAGCAAAAAGAGAGATTCCTCCTCCAAAGTGGAAGGTTATTAAATCCTTTCCGTGGAGGACACTGTGGAGCAGCTGTATTTCAACTTCTCTTTACTCACATTTCCCACAACTATATCCTGCAGTTAAAAGGAGCAGGTGAACTGAGCCTGACCTGTGTGATAAGTTGAATAACTTGAATCCCTCCCCAGTCTTCTGATATCCAACAGCCCACGATATTGTTGGTCATGCACGTGCATCATCAGGCGTGTAAGGAAATGCTGATAACCACCTATGATCATGTTAACTATGATTTAGTTGGACGGATTACGTTGGAAACACTTATCAGGTTGTTTCCTTTGCGCAGCAAGAAGTTGAAGAGGGCACCACCTGGGATATCCTTTGTGATTTTGGCACAAGGAGGTTTTACAGTTTGTGTTTGGCTTTGAAAATCAAAGAGAAGGGCTGGGGGTGCTGGGGGTGCGGCTCAGTGGTAAAGTGCTTGCCTAGTATGTTCGAGGCCCTGGGTTCAATTCCCAGCCCTGCAAAAAAAAAAAAAAAAAAAGAAATCAAAGAGAAGTTCAGTTTCCCCTGCTGAACTCTGAAGTCTCTATTGCTTCTCTAGTTGCAGTTTTTATTTCTTTTTTTTTTTTCCCTTTGATAATTGAGTGTAGGGAGGAGACATCAGGCTTCCCCCAGCCAGCAATTTTGCAGATGGGATTTAACGCCATGGGCTCTGTCTTCAATAGCACCAAGGGGTTCAATATGAAGAAAGTCAGGCCACTTCCAGGATTGGGGTAGGGAGGTGCAAAAACAGCTCCAGGAGCCAAACAGGTTCTTCCAAATGAACTTGGGGGCTTTGGGGTGACGCCTCTTAAGCCCTTGGGTATTTAAAGGACATGCAGCCAGATGCTAGGTCATGTGACTCTATGATTAGATACAAAACCTTTCCTTTTTCCCACCATAATCACTGACACTGACTTAATGTTGATGCAGCATTAGTTTTGATGGATCTATGGGCTTGAACTAGGATATAATTATGACAGGAGAAAAAGCCTCAATGGTTTTTTTTCTCTGCAAGACAGAATCTCACTCCGTGCCCACTTAGGAAAGCTGACTGCTATTCTAAGAAGATACAGATGATCTGCTTGATCACGCACAGAGCATGCAGGGCTCCGATGATGAAGGAGCATAAAGGGTCTTTCTGATGCCTAAGGATGAGCTTAGTTTCCTGGAAGATTCCCACCCATGTGACATGATTTATTAGCCCTGGCATTGGCCAGTCTTTTGGGTCAAAAAGTACAAAGAGTAGGAGAAGCAAAGGTCTGGGGGAAATGGACCTTGGAGGGTTAGAGGATGAGAGCAGTACCCTCTCTTCAGCTGGGAGGGACTAAGGATGTGAGATATGGCATTAGGAACTTCAGATAGACTGGTGCATCCTTCCCTAAAGGAAAAGAGCAGCAATTCTCAAACGAAAGGGCAGTCAGGAACCTTTAGGCTGTGTCTTTGTTGGTTCAGCATTCTCCATTTCCTTTCCTGAATTGGAAAGAATATTCCAGTAGTTTAATTAAAGTCATTGGGACAGGATGCTATACTTTTCATCAGGGAAAAGGTCTCCTGGCCCTTTTAGATCATTGCATAGACGTGCAACTTCCCTTTTTCACCATCTTTAGCGGAGGAAATACATTCCGTGGTACCTGGTGCCTCTTATATACTTTATATAGAAGGAATTCTTTATAATTCTAAAAAAAAAATTAAACCACGTACAAACCACAGAGGATCCTAGGCATGTTAGGGTCTAACCCTGGTTGTTTTCATGTTTTTAGCACATTGGAAACAACGTTCGATACCAACGTCACCACAGAGATAAGTGGCCGTAGCATTCTCAGCTTGACGGGGAGGCCCACCCCTCTGTCCTGGAGACTTGGCCAGTCCAGTCCTCGGCTTCAGGCAGGAGACGCCCCCTCCATGGGCAACGGGTACCCACCTCGAGCCAACGCCAGCCGGTTCATCAGCACCGAGTCAGGCCGCTATGTGTACTCCGCCCCCCTGAGGAGGCAGCTGGCCTCCAGGGGCAGCAGCATCTGCCACGTGGATGTGTCAGACAAGGCAGGAGATGAGGTGGACCTGGAGGGCATCAGCATGGATGCCCCTGGCTACATGAGTGATGGAGACGTCCTCAGCAAGAACATCCGAGCTGATGATATCACCAGCGGGTGAGTGAGTGCCTGGGCTCCTGTCTGTCGTTTAGCCAAGCGGGAGAAGCCTTGGCCCCTGCTTTCCCTTTTGCACAGCCTTTACTTCAGTTTGGAGCAGATCACTCTGGCTGCCTCAGTTTCTGCCGTCTGTGTTGGAGGCTGCGTGGCGTGGCAGGGACACTGCTGGGCTGAGTCAGAACACCTGGGTTGACAGGTTTGGCTGGTAACTCTCAAGTCCCCACCAGCTGCCAGAGTGACACTGGAAAACAAACCTGCCACCTCGGTCCCTTAAACAAACCTTGCACTGAGCTGCGTCCCCACCTTTTAGGATGGCCTACCCAGTCCTGAGGGACCTGGCCCTACCTGCTTCTCCAACCTAATCAGTCTTCCCCCACCTTGCTCTCTCCCTGCTGCAGCTCCTTCCATTCTTCCATCTTCCAAAAAACAGCCTTTGCACTCATTTCTGGTCCTGGATTCTGCTTCCAGAACTCTACCTAGCTAGTTTCCACTTGCTGCTCAGTTGACACCTCTGTGAACGGGCCCTTTTTGACCGCTTAGTTTGAAGTAGTTTGTGTCCTGCCCCTGCGCCAGTTACCTCTGTCACCCTGTGTTGGGTGCTAACCTAATTGTTTCCCTGCCCTCTGGTACTTGCAACCTGTTGCACCATGAAGCTGGAGTATTGCCTTGCTTCTTCATCACGGAATCACTTCTGCAATGACACAATAGGAGCTTATAAATAAAGCTGAATTAATGAGCCCAAGGGCCGGTGAACGAAGGAACAAACCCTAACCGCCTGTTTCTTGATTGGTTCATGTGTAAAGTTAAGGATAGTGATGAGAGATTACTAAGGACCTTTTAGATGAGCGTGTCACGGCTTCGTGTAGATGAGGCCTGGCTTCCTGTTTGTAGCTTCACTTTGAGATCACTGCACAAATAAGGTGTGTTTCTTTATCTCACTTGACTGAGGCTTCTTAATTTATCAACGGGACTTGTCCAAAAGTTCTCCAAGGTCTTTTCCACCTCTAAATGGTTCTAGTGATGAAAATTACATATAAGGAAAATCAGGAATAGAATAATCATGCCACTCATTTCCATGAAAATGATAGTCAGGAACCCCCTGGGTGAGTCAGTATTTTCACAATTTTAATAATAGCCAACTCCCCTGTGATGTGCGGAGAAGGGTGCGGGTGCTCTACATGTATTATCTTGCTCTGTCCTCACAGCAGTCCTTTGAAGTGAATGATCTCATAATCCCCATTTTATAGATGAGGAAACTGAAGTTCAAGAAGGCAAGTCCAATAACTTGCCATGATTATGCAGCTGTCAAGAGGCAGAGCCCGTGGCCAGTGGCTCATCATTCTTAACCACATGGAACGCTCTTGCCTAGCACTGTACTGCTGCATTGAAATAGCACAACTGCTAGAGTTTATTTCAAAAATTTTTAAATTTTGCATAGCTCTGTCTGTATGACTAAAATTGTTCTTTTATCTAATTAGAAGCATAGGCATAGCAGTTGTGCTAATCAACTTTCCATTGCTGTGACAAAATACCTGAGATAAGTCAACTTAAAGGAGAAAAGATTTATTTTGGCTTATGGTTTCAGAGATGTGGCCCAAGATGACTTGGCTCCATTGTTTCCACTCCTGTGGTGAAGCAGAACAGCATGGTGGGGAGCATGTGGTGGAGCAAAGCTGCTTACCTTATGGCAGCCAGGAAGAAAAGAGGGAGAAAGAGGCCAGCGACTAGATATTCCCTTCAAGAACACACCTCATTGACTTACTTCCTCCACGTAGGCCCTGCCCCCAGAAGTCTCCACCACCTGCCAATAGCACCACCAGCTGGGGACCAAGGCTTCAACACCAGAGCCTTAGGGCTACATTCCAGACATTCCAAGCTGTAACTGAGGTGCTTTCCTTTGTAGTAGTAAAAATCTTTGAAAATGAAAGCCACCAGACTCTTAATGATTTAACAAATTTCTGCTATCTGGAACTGCTGGGAAAGCTGATGCACTGATAAATTAAGTGATCTGGTCAACTTAGAGCATATTTTGCATTCCTAATTTTCCATAAATGTGAAGAATAGTAATATACACCTGTTCATAAAAGTGAATTGCACACAATTTAATCTTTTATAATTGTTTGGAAGACTTTTGGTATCTAGCATAATCCCAAATTTTATCATCATTAATTCTCAATTCACTCTACTACTCTAAAATCCTAATTACTTTGACTCCTTTGAATACTGTAACAGAGACCTCATTTTATTGCTGGACCAGTCTTTCAATCCTAACTGGTCAGTGAATTAATTTTGATGTAGTTTTGGCACTGTCCACAAGGTGGAGACATTGGGACACTCCAAACTCTTAGTGGTGTCACAGGGAGAAACTCCTGGTTTCCCTGGCCACCCACACCAGAGCCTTCCCCTTGCTACAAAAGCCCAAGTGTTTACATTTCAGTTCCTGCTTTGCAAAGCTTACATTTTTAGCATGTGAGATAGTGCTTAGAGCAGGCCTAGATAAAAGTGCAGAAATGTAAGCAAACTACCCAATTACTGAAATCTGAGAACTTTGGTCTGGTTTTTCTTCTCTTGCTCCTTTTACTGCAGGAATTTACCTTCAAAATAAGGATAGCCCAGATGACACTTAATGCTCCTTCTGCTAGTATCATTCTAGGACACTTGTTAAGCATGTGTGCATCTGTGAATGTACTGGGGAAAGTCAGCTTTTGCCTTTACCTCCTGGGCTCAAGGCAAGTCACTTCGTGTCTTTCCTATTGATGTCTTTTTCTGTACATAGACACGACAAGGTTGTAAGCATCAAAAAGCTGGTCACTTGTTCTGTTCTTCAGAATCTGATGTCAGTCGTTGGTGAGGCCATTGATGGAATCGGGGAAAAACAAACTGAGCCCTGTGACATTAGGCATGTCATTTAATTTCCTTAAGCCTTAAAGCACTAAATGTGAGGGTTCTTTTTTTTAATTTAAATTTTGATTTTATTATATTTCTGGTATTGGGGATTGAACTTATCTATTGCTGAACTATATCCCCAGTCCTTAATAAATTTTGAGACAGGATCTCACTAAGTTGACCAGGCCTGCCTCTGCCTCCTGAGTAACTGGGATTCCAGGTGTGTGCCACCATACCAGGTGTAAACATGGTTCTAACCTTCTATAGTTAGACTTCTTCCTGAGGTTGTGTCATATAAATGACAAATATCTAATGAAGACACAAAATTTCAGCCAGGATCTAGCTATCATACCCAAGTATCCAGACACTTGGCAACAATGAAATGATGAAAATTTACATCTTAGGTATTTGGCTTAATGGAAACTTAGCCTTGATATATGAGTGTTAGTGGATCGATCAGTGCCAAGTCTTCTTTGAGGAACGTTCTTGCAAAAGTTGGCCACAAGTGCATTCAGAAAAACTCTAGTTGTTTTTAAAAATGACACTGTACCTTGGCTCAGTGTAGCAGCTACCTCTTGACATCTCTAGCTTATGTTCTTCACCGGGGTGCATCCTTCAGTGCTGGCTAAGGAAGGACAGAAGTTACTTTATCACCATGGAGTTTAGCTAAGTACTTGATGGCAAATGCCTCTTTGTCTTTGTATGTATATGTTTATCAAACCCCCGTATTGCACTTAAGTTAATGCCAGGCATGTCTAAATACTTTACAAGCTATCATCTGATCTCACCCTCCTTTTATTAGATTGATAAGTTGGGTATTGGCTGTGTTGGAAAAGGAATTAAAATGACAGATGAAGATGTCTCTTATTAAGTTCTAATCTCAAGTCAATTCTCTACTCACATTCTAAAAATTCAGAGTGCCACATGCTACATAATAAAATTAAAGGGACAGACTTCACGTCCATATGTTTCGAAAGGTTTTATTTGCCAAGAGAGCACTGAGTTGCATAGTCTTCCAAAGTATAAATATGTATCACTTCATGGGGGATAAAAATGACCATTTGAACTTAACATCTGAAATTTTCTGCCAATAAGAACCTTTAAGGGGCTTCCCAGAGCCTTTGGGAACAAACCTGGACTCCATAACTGAACATGGGAGGCTCTTAGTGGCCTCTGCCTTCCCTTGGTTGCTCCTGGCCACACCAGGAGATCATATCTACCTCAAGTATCAGACACTTGGAAACACCCCAGGGCTCTGTCCTTCTCACTGCTGTAGGGCACTGCCCTCAGCAGAGGCTGTCTCCAGCATTTGCAAAGCTCTGTGCCTGCTTTCTGCCTGGGATTCTTTTCCCCAGGAGTCCATGTGACTGAGCCCAAAAAAACACCTCCCCTGCAATGTCCCCCAGACTCCCTCAGTCAGAGTTAGCTGTGTCTTGTGTGTTTCTGATGGCTTTGGTTCTTTCCTAGACGGTGTGTAAGCTTTTCACTTTGCATGTGAAGTGTTCGAGGAGGACTGGCTGGTGGCCATAGTTTTAAGGGACTTGAGATTTAATCCTGGCTCTGCCAGGTGAACTGGAACAACTTCTTAATCTTTGAAAATTGGAGGTAGAGAACTTAGTTAGCCCCTGACAAAGAGTCCAACATGCTCAAGAAACATGTATGTGTCTCTGTCTGTCTGTTCTCCATTAAACTCAGAGCTCCCAGAAGGTAGACAGTGCCTGTTAATTTTCTAAGCCCAGAGAGCAGAACCTAGTAGGTATTGCCTATTCTTGGTGTCTAGCCCAGCAGGACCTTGGACTTATATAACTTGTCACCACCAGCTGTGGAAGTCCATGGTTCTGTTTGTAGAACACTTGGAGGAAAGCTGCGTATCCCGTGCGTCCATCTCACAGCCTGCGTAGGGTGCAGTGCTCTGCTGTCTGCTGGTTTGTAACATTAGACATCATGATATTGGGTTGAGACTCCCTGCTAGTGACATCCAGGGCCGAGGAAGCTGCATTTCAAGTGTGGCCTGACATTGTGGAAGGGGAAGAGGGTTATGAGCACTCTGGTCTTCAACGGTGACTTGGTGGCAGGGGTTACTCCATCAGCAGATGTGACCACAGACTCAAGCT